TGGCCCAAGATGGAGTTACCTAAGGCACTATGGTGAGTTGAATAGGAGTGGCCCCCATAAACTCATGTGTTCGAATGCTTAGCCCATAGGGAGGTGCATTGTTAAGAGGTGTGGCCTTGTTGGAGTAGGTGAGGGCTGGTTGGAGGAAGTGTGTCACTGTGGGGCTGGGCTTTGAGGTCTCGTATATGCTTAAGTTGCACCCAGTGTAACTCAGTCTCCTGTTGCCTGCCAGTCATGATGTAGAACTCTTGACTCCTCCAGCATCATGTCTGCCTGGGCACTGTTATTCTTCCCACCATGGTGATAATGGACTGAACCTCTGAAACTGTAAGGCACCTAATTAAATGTTTTCCTTTATAAGAGTTGCCTTGGTCATGTTGTCTTTTCATAGTAATGGAACCCCTAAGTTCAAGATGAATTTCCGACCCATGTGGGAACCAGCCCCCTTCAGGGAAATGGTCAGAGGTCATCTGACCCTTACTTCACTGAGCAGTCTGTGCACAGCATCTTGATCTCTTCCTCTCACAGAAGTGCTTACAGAAGTGCTTTCCCCATAATGCTGATTTGACCACTCTCTTGTCCAACTAAAACCACCTGATGAGACCCCAAACTCCTTTTTTGGTGGGGCTGTTCTTTTTTCTCTTGGGGACAGTCCTGCAGGTTTTGCCTCTAATAGAGCTTTGTGTTGACCTGAGTACTGTGCTAGTGTTTCCTTCTGTCATTTAGCCTCATAGGGATACTTTGAATGGGTTGCCATGGATTAAGGTACACACAATTCTAGTATCCAGCAAAGCACACATATTTAGAACATTAGTGGGTGACCAATAAATCTGTAACTCAGCATGACCCCCCTGGTTGCTTATGTATGGCCCTCATTTTCAGACAACCTTGGCCACCCCATCAGAGGAGCATCTTGGGCGGCTCCCACCCTGGGACACCTTCTTCCATAAAATTGGGGAACTACTGTTTCTTTGTTTTCTGTTTCTTTTAACCCTTTGGAGAACTGTTGGTCAACCTTTAAGGCCTTCCAAAGACTCACAAGCACAGAAGTTGGCTGTTAATCAATACTTTCCAGCTTGACAAAATTCTAGTCACACTTGTCTTCAGGTGACCCAGACAGTCCTCTTCCCTTGTTTACTATTTCTTTCATTTCCTCCAGGCTACTCTCTCACTTTACAGCCACTCTCTACATCCTGTAAGACACTGAGATCTGCCAGAGCCTCTCCTGCTTCATAAAGACCTCACTGTCCCATCCTGGGGCTCAGCAAAACTACTAAGACTTTATACTAATCTCTAGGTCCCTCTTGAATCAACTTTTTCCTTAGTTCTCCTTTGAGCATAGTTCTGTGTGGCCCAGGGAACTGAGGTTCACATACAGCCTCTCACATTCCCACCTCCCTCCATAGTACTGGCTCCTCCTACCTCCCTCCATAGTGCCAGCTCCTCTCACCTCCCTCAATAGTGCTGGCTCCTCCCACCTCCCTCAATAGTGCTGGCTCCTCCCACCTCCCTCCATAGCTCCCACTCGTCCTCCATTCCTGTTCATTTATGGGACTTCAGATGGAGATAATCACATGTTCCTAAAGACTCCGATAAGCCGGTCCATTAGGGACTTATTTCCTCATAGTATCTCAGGTAATGCAGCCTTTGCCTTAAGGAGGGATGGATAATCATATTACTCAGTTTTTCTGCCTCCACAGCAGTTAGACTGGACCCATCTGCTCCCATGTCCCATGGCTGCACAAGTCAGGCTGTATTAGGCCCTTTGGTTTTAAGAAAGTCTTCTCTAGCTGGGCAGTGGTGGCACACGCCTTTAATCCCAGCACTTGGGAGGCAGAGGCAGGTGGATTTCTGAGTTCGAGGCCAGCCTGGTCTACAGAGTGAGTTCCAGGACAGCGAGAGCTATACAGAGAAACCCTGTCTCATAAAACCAAAGTCTTCTCTAATTCCTACAGCTCAGATGCTGACAATTTTGTCATTACCATAGTTCCTTGCACTAGACCATTGTTAATGTCCCCATCTTATAGACTGTTCCCTAACGGTTTTTCTTAATAAAGTTGAACCTGTGGGATATCTTCTATTGCTTTTACCATGTTCTCCTCTGCCCCACTCTCTGAATCTTCCCATTCCAAGTTCTTGAATCCCAGGAAGGGCTTTGAGCATGAATTTAACTTGTACTTTGTTTTCCCTCTTTCCCACAAGCCTTAAGAAGTAGCAAGCCAGCAGCTCTCTCGTCCTCTCATTTACATACTAGCCCCAGGCTAGATAGAGGCTAACACAGAGGAGGCTGCTGCATCTCTCTGCTGAATCTCCTTTTTGTTGCAATTGTTCCTTCACACAAACATCTCAGCTTCAGTTGCATTTCTAACTACACAGCAGAAGTCAGGTAAGCTCTGCCTATCGGCAGTCTCAACCCTGTGTGCCAGTCTTAAGTACTGCAAGACTTCCTCCAAACCTTTAACTGTTTTTAGGGCAACTCCTTATTCCTGTGGTGGATTCCACTCATCACGTAGGCATGCCAGCCCACACTACATAGACGATGGCTGCCACCTTGGGATTCCTCCCACAGTCACTCCTAATCCTGAGGCTCAGCCTTATTGCCTGTCTCACTGCCCAAAGCAAGAAGCAGCCACTGCTGTCATAGCACGACGGCACACTAACACACACTGTCCAGGAAGGGACAACTCTGCTGGAATTCCCTCCATGGATGCTCCTCACTCAGGCTTCACAGCCTCAGTCATATGGCCTTGCTACTTATAGTTAGGACCATGCACCCACTTCTCTCCAAATCATCTGTAGTTCTGTTGTGTCCCTGTTCAGGTGCCAATTATGTTGAGTGACAAAACTTTTCCTGGGGAGATGCACACATGTCCCAAGATAGGGAGCCCCTGAGAGACCAAAGTACAAATGCCACCAAAGTCCAACTTGGTGAACCAGTGATTTTCATTGGAATTACTTATAGGAGCAGAAATGGAAAAACAGCTACATCACCAAAGCCACAAAGCCAGAAGGCCTTGAACCTTGCTTTTTGAATGCTGGGTTATAAGCTTTTTGTTGTTATTGCTTTTGATTGGTAATGAAATGGTCAGAAGCAGGTTTGATGATATTCTACACTATTTCTACTACAGTAGTATATGTAATAGGTCCAAATGATGAAATCCAACATGACATTTGTGTTCAGTCACTGTGGCGCAGACTGCCACAGTCATTCACAGTTGCTCTGTGAACTTCTGAACAGTCACTGAGATTATGTCACAGGAGATTACTGGGTGATGAAAACTATGATACATTATAAATTACCTGAATTGCACAACTATCTTTATCAAAGTATAGAGAACAGATTTGAAGAGTTCGTACCAAAATATTAACTTATTATCTCTGCTCATTAGGATGTTTTGTTAAATTGAAAGGAATCATATGTTGCTGATACGTTTTGGAACATGCTGCGTTCTGAGCCATGCCATGCCTCATCCTGCGTTTTAGATGTTAAAACTGCATGTATTATAATTTCAGTAATGTTAGTGTAATTAACTTGTATCCCTAGATCCTAATTTTCACTGAGGTGGATATACAAATATTATACAATAAGGAAGCTTTGATTTCTAGTTGGTGACTTTATTTCTTTGGATTATGATACTTTTGTGCCCAATGTTTATTTGGTTAATTTATGATTGCAGACAACTTTAAGCAACCTCGGTCTTTCTGTCAGAGAAATGATAGAAGAGAAGTAAGAGCTCTTTTTTTTTTCTGAAAAGAGTAATATAATTACTATGTTATTGATATATAATTATGTATATTCTAGCAAACTAATATATAGTTTTAAAATATATATATTAGTTTGCTAGAATATACATAATTATATATATTCTAGCACATTGCAAACTGGATGCAGAGACATATTATGTATTCACACATTCTACCTCCCATTTGTACTAAATTTTAATGATGAAGTTAAGGTAGTATTGATGATTTACTAATGAATATATTTTAAACAATCAAAACACCTTAAAGTGGGTACAGCTGTAATTCGGAGGGAGCACGTAGATGATTGTAACGCTATAACTCCAGCTATTGCCACTTGCTTCCCTTATTAAGATTAAAATAATCAAATCCAATATTTGAAGGGCTGAGTCAAGAGAGTTGAGCTAGCAGGGACAGAGGGAAGATTAAGGATACATGCCCTGAGTCACTTTTGCCTGCTGATGTTTAGGGCTGCTGGTAAGCGGACTGCAGACCTGGTGGTCCATTAGTCTTTGCATCCAGTTTGCAGATTGCTGGAATGCTTTAGTAAAATTCATTTGTTTTTGTCTTATTCTAAAATTCTCTATGTGATTTGCTTCTTTTTTTAAAAAGTTTCATCTTTAGGAACTTGTATGTAAGAGCTTGTATGTAGCTATAAATTACTTTCTGTTAAGCAGTGATTTTACAAATTATAGCACTTTAAGATGTTGATTATAATCAGGAAATGTCATTACATCAAATGCTCTGAAGACCATAATCTGAGGGTCTTTTTCCCCCTTCTCCCTCTAGTGGGCAGAAGTTATTTTAAAACTGTAATATGGTAATAAAAAATAAATAAATAAATAAATAAATAAAACAGAAAAAATTAAATAAAACATCCAACAAAAAATAAATAAAATAAATAAATAAATAAATAAATAAATAAGGGGGCTGGAGAGATGGCTCAGTGGTTAAGAGCACTGACTGCACTTCCAGAGGTTCTGAGTTCAAATCCCAGCAACCACATGGTGGCTCACAACCATCTGTAATGAGATCTGATGCCCTCTTCTGGTGTGTCTGAACACAGCTACAGTGTACTCATATATAAAAAATAAATAAATCTTAAAATAAATAAATAAATAAATAAATAAAACAGAAAAAAACTGTAATATGGCAGAGTTCGTTAGTATTGGGTGTATCATAATATACTCTCAGATTTAAAAAAATTAGAAGTGCTGTTATTTCAGAAACATTAAATAAACTGTTCTTTTCCTTTGCAGACATAATAGTGGATCCTTGAATGTCGAAGATGTACTTACCAGCTTTGACAACACAGGAAATGTTTGTAAGTTATATGATAACTATAAAATATATTCAGTGCTTTAAAAAGCAAATTTTAGTTTTCCCCTAATATTTATTATACTGTGTGTTTATACTTATGTTATATGTGTGCATACACATATAAATATATTTATAGATATATGTATGCATGCATATTAGAAATTCTTGGTGCCTTTAGGTGTAGAATGTTCCCCATAGGAGATGCATACTAAATGGGGCATGGCAGTTTTTACCAACACTTTATGGTGATGCGTGTGTTGGAGACAGAATATAGATCAGAAGGAAGTCTGGATGCCCTGGTGCCGGTCCTGTTTCTTGTTTCCATTGTGACTTTTCCCGGAAGTCCAGTTGTTGGTCTGCTTCCTCCTCTGCTTGCTTTGGTTGCTGTACTCTTCACTCTTTTGGTGCCAATTAAATCCATAATATGTTCTTCATGATGTCACTATACTTAAAATGCAAGTTTTTGATTAAATAATAGAGGCTATATTTTTGTCTAAATCTCTGATTAACTGGTGATCTATTTCTCTGCTGAGAACTTCACTTAAGCATTTATAAAATAATGCCATATGATGAAAGAAATCAGCTAAGAGTATACTCACATTACAGTTACGTAACATATCATAAGAGAGTTCAAAACTCTCTGTGAGCTACCAGACTGCCTGTCTAAATCCCCCATGAGTCCCTAAACTTTGGGACAAAGTGGGACACCGTCTTTTCACCAGAACCCAAAGCAATTTCTGAAGTCTAGTGGGAACTCGATAAGCATTTGCTGGATTTCATCATCACATTTAAATCCATCTCAGCCCCAAAGCTCTACAAATGTCTCGGCGGTAGGCTGACAACATCTTTGCTCTTTTGCTGAGCTGAGTGGAAACTTAGCAAAGAGGAATAAACACTCTCTGGTATGTAAAAAAAAAAAGAATAATGATTTGTGTTGCATAGGAGACTTATCAAAATAATGACTCATTAGTAAACCTGACCATTTCAAATTTAAAAATAACTCAAATTTTTCTAAGAGGAAATATCATAATTACTTATCATCTATTCTTAAATGATAAACCTTTCAGATAGTACTGTTTTACCAAATGGATGGGTTTTAATTGAATAATATATAATTAATTTTGTTGTATATCCACATTTTCGTTAGTTCTTGCTTGTAAAGTTATATTTTGTCACTAAGGAATCTGTAAATGTTCTAGTCTATTACTGTAAAATAGTTAGAATGGCATAGTTTTCTTTTGCATGGACAGTAATAGATTCCCTTTTAGCTTATATGTATTGGCCTTTAGTGAATTCTGACTTAGGTGTATGCTGCAGTTTTGTTGGGAGCAAGGCAAGGACTGGCCAAGGGATGCTGTGGTGGTTGAGGACACACTCTTCATTAAACCACAGTAATGGTGAATATCATTAAGTCAGCCCTTTGTGCACTCACGTTTAGGATAGGATTCTGGAATGTGAAATATAGACTTTTAAATTCAGTCACATAAAGCAAGTATTGTTTTCTTGACTCACTATGAAATAGGGCCACTAGCTGGCAGCACTGCATACAACAAAACAGTCTCCTAAGGGTCCAAGGTATTAATTCACACACAAATAACTGTCTCTTCTGTCCTTCTCTAACATCTTCTCCATCACCCACACCCCTTAGCTGTCTCACTGATGAGTGGAGAAATCACACGCGGATGCCCTCGCCTGCTTTGTGTCCTGTGTTGAAAAAGCCCTGTGTTGTATGTTGAGAATGCCCAGTGTTGTGTGTTGAAGACACTTTTCCTGCTCTCTGTTGTGTAGTAGGGAACTTCAGAACAAGACATGTCTGAACTTGATTTTCATGCACTTTTAAAGACTGCATATAATTCATAGACACTGGAGGACCCTCTGATCCTCACAGGTGATGCTCAGCAAGTGGAAGCTACTTCTTTATCACTCCTGGGGCTTGTAGTTTCAAACTTGTTTATAAGGGCTTTTAAGTATGTACAATTTATGTTGTTAAGGCTTAACGTAAAATAAACTTAAGTTAAAAAGAGTCACCAAAAGTTACTTCGGTGTTTTAAAATGAACTATTTTGATTGAACTAAAAAGCCAGAGAAATTAGAAAAAAACAAAAGTTTATTAAAATATTTTATCATAATAGTCTTAAGAACCTGAAAATATTGTCAAATGACAGATGTAGTAACAAAAACAAGGTGTATTAAGGCATTTTTTGCTTATAACATTTTGGCATGTGAGAGACTGGGTGTATGTGTGCTCTGTGTGTGTTCATGTGGGTGGTTGTATGTGTGTATGCATGCGTGTGGAGGCCTGAGGTTGAGGGCAGCAGTCTTCCTCTGTTCTCTACCTATTTACTGAGGCAAGGTCTCTGGAGCTTGGCCATGTAGCCAGGCTGGCTGCCCAGCCTGCTGTAGGGAGAGGTAGATGTGGGAGCCACACCCACCTGCCCTTTACGTGGTCTGGGATGTGAGCCCAGGTGATGGAGTGTGAGGCCAGCGCTCCCTTCCCTGAGTCATCTCCTGCTCCATATGCAACGTTCTACTTTGTGGTGCAAATATTATATGTGGAACACACTGTTCTTCATCCTTCCCGCCCACCTTCCTCCCTCCCCTCTTCTTTGCTGTTTGTTCCCTTTGTCCCCAGACAGTTCTACTTCCATGTCATGTATACCTATATGGTTTATGTGACTATGTTTACTCTTAAATATGTGACTGCGTTTACTCTTTAGTTTATAAGGAAAAGCGGTTGAAATTCCACTTAACAGATAAATGTATAAATACTGCTTAAACTTTTATGTAATCATCATAAAATACTCAGTCAAAAAAGTACTTTTTCACTTGATAAGTTGGATTTTATTAGTGTTGCTGGATAGAGTTTGTGAGTGGGAAGCCCAGCAGAGGGCGCCACAAGCATAATTCTGTTTCAGAGCACAGTGTAAAGCCACGGGAGTAACAGTAAGCTTTCATTGTATAAACATTTAAAGATGTGTTTATATACTTTACATACTTTCATTGATCAATTTCTAATATATTCAGTACATTTGCCAATTATTAAGAAAAAAGCTTTTTTAATGTTAGAATTCATTTTGTTTTGTTTTGCTGAAATGTCAGTTTTTCTACCTCTAGCCTTAAGTTCAGTTCTGACCCTCTGACGCTGATGGGGCTTGTGGTGCACAGGGCTGTGAGTTCCTCTAGAGCTGGTGCTGTAGCAGGCAAAGGCTGTTTACAGCGAGGAATGACTCTCCTGTGGTAGACACGATGAACACCACCGCTTAGGCTCTTCAGCTTACTATTACTTAATAACAGAAAAGTGATTAAAACATTTAGAATCATCAAAGTCTGCTGTTATACCCAGTGAATGCACTCCTTGTTTATGGAGTCATCCAGCTTAAATTTAAAAATCAAGTAATGGTTATGCTCATTTACGCTTTGATTGATTTCCAGAATTCCCAAAACTATATGTGAAAAGTCTTCCTAGTTTGAAGAAATAATTGAAATGTCTAATTATTTATTTCCTCTTATATTGGAAAAGAAAATATTTTTATACTTGCTTTTGTTATTTATATTTTGTTTGTAAACCTTAAAATAGCTTAAAATCTTGAGATGTATTTTACTACTTGACTTCTTTTCAATGATATAAGAAGAAATTAAGATGGATTTTATGAGCTGGATATGGGATAACTTAGTACTAGTGTTTGCCTACATTTCACAAGTGCCTAGGTTTCACTCTTAGTTTCAGAAAGAAACAAAAGTGTCAATGCGGAATTAATCATTTCTGCACACTGACTTACTGACTTGAGGACCCAACGTTTTGCTTTGTGGAAAGCAAACTATTTGAAAGTCATCCTTCCTATGGGTAAGCTGATCTGTTCTGTTCTCACTGCTCGAGAATATCCTTCTTAAGCTGCCTAGGCTGCTCTGCAGAGTGGGTGGGTACTGCCCTGTGGTTGCCTAGAAAGAGGTGCCAGTGTGTGAGCTAGGGGAAAGTATAAGGCAGCAGCCTTCATCACCAGTGACATCACTTCCGCTGATACCTGGTTAATGGAGTCTCTGTCTGACAGCACTGCAGTGGATTTCCTGTTTCCCTGTGGGCAGAATCCCCTTTCCTGTTAGGCCCCTTGACTTTTACTCAGAGAAGCCCACCATGCTGTTTCCCTAAAGTTGTCTCTTCTACTGAATTGATTTTTTTTGGGGGGAGTGGGAGGAGGAGAGAGAGACAAGATGTTTTTTTGTCGTTTCGGCTGTCCTGGAAATTACCAGGTAGATCTTGATGGCATTGATTATTCTCAGAGCTCTTCCTGCTTCTGCCTCCTGAATTCTGGGATCTAAGGTCTTTACCACCATGTACGGCCCAAAATGGTTTTTGAAGATGCGATTCTTCTCATCTTAGTTGACAACAAATTTAGATATTATAGCATCTATTACAGTTTTTTGGTATTTGCAATATCTTCTATGTGCTTGGGAATATAAATTTCCCTTACATATTTTTAAAGTGTACTATGTTTTGATAGCCTGAACAGATAAATCAATGTTTCTTATATAATTTATTGCATGTACATGTAATGTATATATCACATAGGTAATATATATTTAATAATAATACTGCACTAACTAGAAATATAGACATAATAAAAATTCAGAAACAATTCTATAAATGTAGACAAATAAAATATGTATATTATTATATGTCTGTTATTTATAATGTATATAAGCCCATAGTTGTTATATACCATTTCAATATTTTAGTGTCAGAATTTTTGGCTAATGTTGTAGCATCATCTTGGAGACTATATTAGTGAAACTCCTTTTGCTGTTCTTTCAAGTTTTTGCCTCTTCTGCCTGGGCTCTGATAGGACCCTGTGATTGGCAGATGTCTCATGGCTTCCTGAACATGTTTGAACCTCTTCTCCCATCCTTCAATTGTGACTGTGGCGATCTTCCCCTGCGGTGAATTGTTGGGCACAGCTGAGCTTTTAATGCGTATAGTTTAGTCTTTCCCTGATTCTCTCTACTTGTC